GCCCTTAAAAAACACACACCTGTTTTGGGTTTACTGGTTTCAAGAAGCACTGTCTGATGTGAACCATGCCTCTCAGAAAAGAGCTCTCAGAAGACCTACGATCAAGAATTGTTGACTTGCATGAAGCTGGAAAGGGTTACAAAAGTATCTCCAACAGCCTTGATGTTCATGTGTCCACAGTAAGACAGACTGTCTACAAATGGAGAAAGTTTAGCAATGTTGCTACTCTCCCTAGGCGTGGTCGTCCTGTAAAAATGACTGCAAGAACACAGCGCAGAATGCTGCATGAGTTAAAGAAGAAGTCCAGAGTGTCAGCTAAAGACCTACAGAAATCTCTGGCACATGCTAACATTTTTGTTGACACATCTACAATAAGGAAAACATTAAACAAGAATGGAGTACATGGGAGGACACCACGGAGGAAGCCATTGCTGTCCAAAAAGAATATTGCAGCACGTTTGAAGTTTGCAAAAGAGCACCTGGATGTTCCACAGCACTACTGGCAAAATATACTGTGGACAGATGAAACCAAGATTGAGTTGTTTGGGAAGAACACACAACACTATGTGTGGAGAAAAAAAAGGCACAGCACACCAACATCAAAACCTCATCCCCACTGTAAAACATGGCGGAGGGAGCATCATGGTTTGGGGCTGCTTTGCTGCCTCAGGGCCTGGACGGATTGTTGTCATTGATGGGAAAATGAATTCCAGATTTTATCAAGACATTTTGCAGGAAAACGTACGACCATCTGTCCGCCAACTGAAGCTCTGCAGAGGATGGGTGATGCAACAGGACAATGACCCAAAGCATACAAGTAATTCAACAAAACAATGGCTGCAACAGCATAGAATACACCCTTCTGGAGTAGCCCAGTCAGAGTCCTGACCTCAACCCGATTGAAATGCTGTGGCATGACTTTAAGAGAGCGATTCACACCAGACATCCCAAGAATATTGCTACACTGAAACAGTTTTGTGAAGAGGAGTGGTCCAAAATGACTCCAGATCGTTGTGCAGGTCTGATCTGCAATTACAGGAAACGTTTGGTTGAGGTTATTGCTGCCAAAGGAGGGTCAACCAGTTATTAAGTCCAAAGGTTCACATACTTTTTCCTCCCTGCACTGTGAATGTTTACATGTTATGTGCAATTAAACCATGACATCATCTAATGTTTGTGTAGTATTATGTTCAGCAGACTGTGTTCTTCTATTGTTGTGACTTAGATGACGTTCAGAGCACATTTTATGCCCATTCATGCAAAACTCCACGTAATCCCAAGGGGTTCACATACTTTTTCTTGCAACTGTATAAGGCTAAGCCTCCATCTTGATACAACTCATACACAAAAATAATTTGCCCATGGGACTTTAATTGAGGCATCACATATTGGTAATAAAATATCAATGTATTAAACAATGAATAACCTGATTGTATTTAGGTGGAAGACAGCTTTGCCCCCCTGTGACCTGATGCCTAATCAACCATTTGATGTTACGTTTACCTGGTTGATACTACGAGATTCATTTGTTTTTTACTCTAGTAAAAGGGTCTCCAAACTTCCTAAGCAAAGGGACCGTTTACTGTGCTTTAGACGTTAGGAGGGCCGGACTGTGACCAGTGGGAGTAGAAAATGCTCTGGCATCAATGGGCATAAACAATGCCTCATCATTTGTTTGAATGGAAGGAATTCCTATTGTTTGTATCAATTGGAAGAATAGTGCCCCATTGATGGTGTCAGTGGAGGAATAGTGCCCTGTCAAAGGCATAAGCTGGTGGAATAGTGCTCCAAGGGCCAGAAAAGGCAAGCCAAGGGCCACATTCGGCCCCCCGGCTACATTTTGGAGACCACTGCTTTAGTATAATATTTGTATTATTATGACTTAGTCAGTCTTGCTATTAATGTTTCATGGAATGACCCTTATAATGATACTGAAACTTGTCAATCCTGGTACTTGTGGATAGGAAGTAGTTTTTTAATGGTAGAGGAGACTCAATATGGCTTTTCTGCCTGAAAGCACTTTCTCTGGCCCCTAGCAATTTTTTTACCAATTGTACACTGACAGCAGCGCAGCTTCATGGGCAATCTCAGCATGAGATCCAGAATGATGCAATTCCTGTGTGCACATGTGGGAATTATGTCATCAAGAACATTAGAAAAGAAAAGACTCTGGGCCAGTAGACTCTTGGCAGTGGCAATGGGTAGCATGAACCTCGTATCATTGCAGAAGAGCACTTTGGAAGGTAAGTATGCCAAAATGTGCAAATATGATGTACAGCCTGGTCCAGGACCCATGAATGGACAATTATGGAGCAGTAGTACATTGATGACTTCACCTTACTCTTGTAGGCAGATTGATTACATCCCCTCCATTCATAGCAGTTACAATGGAAGAGGTAGTAAAGAAAACGCATAGTACTTTGTAACTTAGTGTCCTCAGGCAGTGGTGAAAGAGTTAGAAATCCATGAGAGTTGTATACAGGATAGAGATCAATGCACAGATAAAGCATCACACTTCATCTGGCAGCTCAAACTCAATGGAGGGTATGCGTAAACTAGAAAATGACGGCAAATAAAGAGAAAAGCATACAATTTATTTGATAAAACCACAGTGGCAACTTACACATTATCAACTTGAAACAGCACTTATTAGGCCATAGGTGTACAGTCTGGTATTAGTCTGTGTGCCATGACCAGTGGCGGGGTAGGACGATTTTCTTGCAGCTGTTATTTCTGCAGATGGAACCTGTTGACAGCTGTCAATTTTAGCCTTCTGGCTGCAACACTGCTATCTTTGAAATCGGTAGCGTGGGTTCCACATGCAGAAGTGACACTTGCAAGAATTTCTTCCAGCCAGCTGTCTATGCTGTGCAGGCTAATACTGGACTTTCTACTTATGGCTTGATGTGTGCTGCTTCAAGTGGATAATAGGTGAGTTGCTGCTATGGCTTTATACAATAAATGATATATATATATATATTTTTTTGCACAAGACCTTTTGCATGTTTCTCTTTCACGCTGTTGTCCTCCATTCATAGCTTAAGCTGCAAATATACTGTATATCAAGACATTATTGTGATATATTGTGACAAACCAGACATAGTTTTCAGGGCATCCCTGCCCACTTTTATTTCAAAAGAAAAGTAAAGTTCATACAGGTATGACATTCAGCCTCCGGGCTCTCTTGCAGCTTTACTGCTCTGATTAGTACCTCTTGGTCCTTCTGGCCCTTTGTACCTTTTTGGTCCTCCTATCAAAAATGTCCCAGTGTTCATGCACAGGCGCCGCACCTCAGCTCTGCGTCTTTCCTTGCAGTTCCCTAGCTGCTCTGTCCCTCATGGACTCTCTCAGGACAGTCTGGTGCATAGTAGCACCTCTCATGGCTCCCTTCACACACTGACCCCCTTGAGAGGGTGGGGTCTTGACCTCTATCTCTGGCTCTCATATGAAGCCTGCACACACCTGCGCCATTAGAGTGCTCGCTTCTTACAAAATCTGGTGTAAACCACCATTTTAAACAGTGGCACAGGTCACCCTGCCACAAAAATAACATATATATATATATATATATATATATATATATATATATATATATATATATATATATGTATATATAGAGCACTACCCCCTTAGGAGCAGCTGATGATTTGCCTATAGTCCTGCACATCCAGGAGTCAGTAACAAGTCCTTGAGCTTGTTTTGATATTTTATTAGGGGATTTTAGAATTTGGATGGGGTAAAGGGTGCACGGGATGCCCAAAGAACTGGGGAACCGAGGACAACTTTCTGAACTTTGTACAGATGGTTACAGCAGCAAACTCTTTTGGAGAGGTAGCTGTAGTACCACCCCAGACCCCAGCTGCTCCTCTATCTGGCTGCCTGGAGGAATCCCTGTGCAGGGGATCCAGTGCCTGTCACTTTAAGAAATAAGACAGTCCCAAGTGGTGGCTAATCTGGTTTCCCACCAGAATGCTCCTTCCCCTATCTGACCCAGGGGGTGCAGGTTTACTCAGTCCTTCTCGGTGGCTGCTACTAGACCTTTTAGTTGGGATGCTCCTTCCCTGCTTCACAGGTGGTCCTCTCTCAGGGGGGCATTGAAGTCCCAAGCTTTCCTCCTTCCAAGGTCCTCTGCCTGTAGGTGAGCCCCTCTCCATCTGGACCCCCTCACAGGCTCCTGTCTCCAGCCTCACATCTTCCCCATCTCCCACCCAAGCTCTCCTGTCTCTTACCAAGTCTCCTCTTGGGGATTGCCCAGGGTCCTCTAAGAGTAAAGTTCAGCCACTCCTCAAATCTGCTCACTGCTTCTAGACCTTTCTAAAAAGTTCTATAATGGGGAAATTCCAGAGGGCTGGTCTGCAGAGCATCTCAGCTTTGACCCTGCTAGCTATCACATCCTCCTGTGTAACAACTGAACTAGAGCAAACTAGGAGGGTGACACACACACACACACACTAACTAGGAGGGTGACACACACACACACACTAACTAGGAGGGTGACACACACACTAACTAACTAGGAGGGTGACACACACACACTAACTATATATATATACACATAGTTCCAGCAACATTTTTGATAAGTTATATAGAATGTAATGATTTTTTTTTTTTGTAAATACATACTAGAAAAATACACAGGCTGTGAATCTGGACCTACCTCTACAAATACTAGCTGTTTCTGGCTTTAACACTTTATGGGTCACTGATCCAGAACAATCATGCAGCAAGTTAAGTCAGAGGGAAGTCAGAATTCATGATGTACAGTAGATACTTATTCCAAATCAGTGACTCAAAAAGTATAAAATCCATTGTATCAGCTTGACAGCCAGACAATTAGTATATATAGAAGAAGAGGTAAGCAATGGCAGCCTTCATATTCTCTCATTCCTCTTCAACAAGTGGCTCTGTGTAATTTCTGTAGCAATGAACTATATGACATAGGCATATAAAAATAGAACAAATGATGAAGCCATTTATTTTAAAATACTTGAACTTTTTCTCTCCCTAGAGTCCAAGCCCTGCGTGATTCAGCATCAGCCCTGGAGCTGGAGAAAGAATCTCTCATAGAACTCATCCACAGTATTCAGAACAGCCAGGATATGAGGAATATCAGTGACGGTAAGTCGTGCTTACACAGTTTCACCACCTAAAACTGGCTTATTTTTATTTCACAGCAAAAACAAATGCAAGAAGGTGACCATAAGTGGAGGAAAATCTGTGAGTATAAAAACATGGGAGCTGCCATTGGTGACTTGAGGGCACTTGGCCTGCTGAGGTACTCTCCTTGACACCTTTACTTGTAGGTAAGCTGCAGAGTGCTTTACGGGTCCAGGAGCACAGTACACCCTGTTCTTGAAGACTCATTGATGGGATATGCCCCCTGGTTCTGCTTCGACTGACTGGGGTGCCTTGACACAGTCACTTCAGCTTACACATATATACAAATGTGTGCAACTATTATTATTATTATACAGGATTTATATAGTGCCAACAGTTTGCTCAGCGCTAAACCCCTTGTTTTTAATGTGAACTGTTCGACAGGGTCAATTCAGTTTTGTGGCATGCTGGCTGGTAAGCAAACCTGGACTGGCCATAGGGCACACTGTGCATTTGCTGGTCCACATGTATTTAATGTTAGGCAGCTGCAAAATGCAAATCAGATGCAGCAGCTGAGCTGCCCCTCATCTCGAGCCTGCACCGCTCCTTGGTCTCTCCATGGCTGCACAGTTAGTTTTCATCCTGTATGGCCATCAGAGCAGGAGGCGGGAGCTAGAGGTCAGCTGACCCATGGGCTGCCAGGTGACTGTGAAGGGGGAGTAGCTGGTGGAGACCCCATCACCTGATGCCAAATAGGTGTCACTGCTGCTGCCACAGACAGGGAGCTGGCCTGGACTAAATAAATGTGAGTGAGTGCCAACCTGCCACTGCCAGTGAACACTTACAGTTACAACAAATTATAAGACAATTTGTATAGACTTGCTGGACTGGGCTGTCTCTTTGCTGGACTGGGCTGTCTCTTTGCTATATTGGGCTATCTCTTTCCTGGATGGGGCTGTCTCTTTGCTGGACAGGGCTTTCTCTTTGCTGAATTGGATATGTCTCTTTGCTGGAAGGGGCTGTCTCTTTGATGGATGGGGCTGTCTCTTTGCTATATTGGGCTACCTCTTTCCTGGATGGGGCTGTCTCTTTGCTGGACAGGGCTTTCTCTTTGCTGAATTGGGTATGTCTCTTTGCTGGAAGGGGCTGTCTCTTTGATAGATGGGGCTGTCTCTTTGCTATATTGGGCAGTCTCTTTGTTATATTGGACTGTCTCTTTTCTGGACGGGGCTGTCTCTTTGCTAGACTGGGCTGTCTCTTTGCCTGATAAGGCTGTCTCTTTGCTGGACAGAGCTTTCTCTTTGCTGGATTTGGCTGTCTCTTTGCTCGAGTGGGCTGTCTCTTTGCTATATTGGGCTGTCTCTTTCCTGGATTGGGATGTCTCTTTGCTGGATTTGGATGTCTCTTTGCTAGACAGGGCTGTCTCTTTGCTTAACTTGGCTGTCTCTTTGGTATATTGGACTGTCTCTTTGCTGGACTCGGCTGTCTCTTTCCTGGATTCGGATGTCTCTTTGCTGGACTGGGCTGTATCTTTGCTGGATAAGATTGTTTCTTTGCAGGTTTGCGCTGTCTCTTTGCTGGACAAGATTGTTTTTTTGCAGGTTTGCGCTGTCTCTTTGCTGGACTGGGCTGTCTCTTTGCTGAACTGGGCGGTCTCTTTGCTGAACTGGGCTGTCTCCTTGCTCAACTGGGCTGTCTCTTTGCTGGTCTGCGCTGTCTCTTTGCTGGATAGGGCTGTCTATTTGCTGGATGGGGATGTCTCTTTGCTGGTTTGGGATTGTCTCTTTGCTGGTGTAGGCTTGTCTCTTTGCTAGATGGGCAGTCTTTTTGCTGGACTGGGGATGTATCTTTGCTGGATGGGGATGTCTCTTTGCAATATGGGGATGTTTATTTGCTGGATGAGGCTGTCTCTTTGCTGGATGGGACAGTCTCTTTAATATATTGGGATGTCTTTTTGCTGGATTGAGCATGTCTCTGCTGTATGTTGCTGTCTCTTTGCTGGATGGGGCTGTCTCTTTTCTGGAAAGGGCTGTCTCTTTGATATATGAGGATGTTCCTTTTCTGGATTGGGTCATCTCTTTGTTGAATATATAGGAGGCACTGGGTTTAGAAAGAAAAGGGGGGGGGCTCTAAACTTCAAGGTGATAGGGGGCTGTGATTGCTAGAGGCATTGTAATGCAAAGGGGCACTGTGATATAAAGGGAGGGAACTGCACTGTAAAGGGGCACTGTAATCAATTTTCTGTCACCACTGTCACCAACCGCCCCTGTGAATGCCTGACCACTATTCCCTGGTCAGGCATTGGTCCGAAAAAGAGAAAATTTAGCGGCTGTTGTGTGGATGCAAATGCCTTGTTGTTGTCAGAGGAGAATGGGCAGCCTGGTTCGAGATGATAGAAAGGCAAGAGTAGCTCATGTCAATATGGACCAAAATCTCTTGAGGAATGTTTTCAACACCTTGATGAATCTATGCCACAAAGAATTAAGGCGATTCTGAAAGCAAAAGGGGGTCCAACCCAGTACTAGCAAAGTGTATCTAATAAAGTGGCTGGAGAGTGTATGTATGTATAAGTCCTTGTTGAGAAGTGGTTATATCAGGATCATGACTGCAGCTGCAGCCATGATCCTGGTATCATTCACTACAATGTAAAAGTTAATCTGAGTGGCTATACAGCTACCAGATCACTTTTACTGGTAGCTGAAGGAGGTTCCCCCCCGCCTCCTGTCATCAGCTGCCACCTTCCCTGGGCTCTCCTGTCCCACCTGGGAGCTCAGAACCAAGGCGACCTGGTCACCAAAAGTTCCTTCCCTTCTTCTGTTGTGTCAGAAACCGGAAATGACGAGGATTTAGTCAATACCAGTTTTTGTTTGTATGTTTAGCTGCTTAGTTAGTCAGCTGCTTAGCTGCTCAGCTGCTTTGGACCGCAGATCTGTCCATAAATCTGTCAGTTACGGCCCATGCTATCACATGGGATATTGTTCATCCCTTGTGATAGCAATAAAGTTCAATAAAGAAAATAGAGAGAAAGTGCAAACATATATATAAAAGAAAAAAAATTAAAGTGCCCTTGTCCCCCTGTGCCCACGTGCAAATGCGAATGCACATGTAGGTCCTGCACTCATATGTAAATGGTGGTTGCACCACACACGTGAAGTATTGATGTAGACATCAGAGTGAGAACAATAATTCTAGTGCCAGGCCTCCTGTGCAACTCTAAACTGGTAAGATTATTAAAGTGGTGCCCTCCGATAAAGTGGTGTGTCCGATCACTATACGGGACCTCTGTGTGAGGTCCCAATTCATGTGATCCCTGATTGGCCAATCAGTGATCACATGAATAGTAGTAAGCAAGATGTCACTTCCTGACATCATTGCTTACTACTAGTGAAATCTGTGAATGATCACAGAGGTCACATGGTACAAGACTATTCACAACAGCCTTGTACCATGTGACAAGCTGTGACCAATCATAGCTCTCACAGTATTTCTCAATGGCTGCAAGAATGCAGCCAGAGAGGAGAAATGATTGCTTTTACAGCCTTTATGGGTGTAAAAGCAATCAGAGTGAAAAAAGAAAAAAAAAAATCTTCATCACCCCCCACAAGTAGTACAGTGTGACTATGGTGACACTGTACTGCTAGGGTGATGGTATGTTAAAAAAAAAAAAAAATATTAATATAAAAAAAATTAAATTAAAATGTAAATTTTTTAAAAAAATTTGGGTTATTTTTGTTTTTGTTTTGGACTTCTCCTCTCCCCACAAAGCACCTTCCGGGTTCTCCCTACACCTCCTTCTCTGTTGTTTTGAATTGTACTGCATTCGTCTTTTGTTCTCCAGTTTTTCTGATGATTGCAATAATTTACTGGCCTCCCGGCCCTGTGTCACACTTTCTCGATGATTTCTGCGGTGATGACTATCCTACTTTCTCTCCTCTGAAGTACCCGCCATAATCCTCGATGACTTTAACATTCCAATCAATGTTAACACCTCAGCCACTTCTCAACTACTCAGCTTAACCTCCTCTTTTACCCTAACATAATGGACACAAGCCACCACTCACTCCATAGGCAACACCCTCAACCTCGTATTCTCCCATCTCTGCACTCCCTGCAACCTCTCTAACACCCCTTTTCCTCTCCCTGATCACAGCCCCTATCAGTTTCACACTCTCTCTGTCTCCTACCTCCCATGCGTCCAACCTGTTACCTGCAGGAAGCTTCGCTACCTCAACCCTTCCCTTCTTCATCCTGGTACTGACTGCCTTTATGATAAAATTACACTCCTGTCCTGCCCAGACCCGGCCACTTCTGCCTACAACATACTGTCATCTTCCCTGGACACACTCGCTCCTCTCTTTCCACGCAGAACCAGACCACGCCCGCTACAACCCTGTAAAACAGATGACACCAGAAAAATCCCTGCAAGACTTCACTCTCTACAAATCTGCCCTTTTCAAATACAACTCCTGCCTCCACACTGCAAAACAAACCTACAACATCACTCTCATCAAAATCCTGTCATTCAAACCTCGTCAACTCTACCCTTAATTTCTTACTTCACCCCCCCCCCCCCCCCATTGCCTGCACCCACCAATTTGCTTACTGCCCAGGAGATTGCCAATCATTTCAAAAACAAAATTGACACAATTCGTGATGCATCTAGCTTTCTCCCCCCAACACACAAGGGTCCAACACCACACTCAACACTTTCCTCCTTCAACCCTATTACCAATGAGGAAGTTACCAAACCCCCATCCGCTGCCCACCTCACCATCTGTCCCCTCACAATTACTGTGACCACCTTCCTACTCCATCCTAAACTCTCTACCCTATATCTTCAACCTCCCCTCTCCTCCGGCATCTTTCCCTTCCCTGCTCAAACATGCACTGATCACCCCCATACTTAAAAAACCATCACTGGACCCCACCTGTTTGAATAACTTAAGACCATCTCCCTGCCCCCATGTGCCTCCAAGCTTCCTTGTCCACATCCATATGAGTTGCTACCTTACTGACAACAACCTTCTCGATCCCCTACAATCCAGCTTCCACCCACAACATTCCACTGAAACTGCCCTACTAAAACTCACCAATGACCTACTACCTGCTAAAACCAACAGCCAGTATTACATACTCATACTTTTAGACCGTTCTGCTGTCCTTGACACAGTTGACCACCCTCTCCTCCTCAACTCCACTTCCTTGGCCTCCATGACTCTGCTGTTTCCTGGTTCTCCTCCTACCTATTTCAGCGCACTTTCAGTGTCAGATACAACACAATTTCCCCCATTGCTCTCGCTCTTTCTGTTGGGGTACCCCAAGGTTCTGTTCTTGGGCCCCTCCTCTTCTCTCCCCTATACCTCTTGCCCAGGCCAGCTGATATCCTCCCATGGCTTCCAATACCACCTCTATGCTGACAACATCCAGATCTATCTCTCTTGAATCAACTCACTCCCTCAATCTCCTCACGTATCACAAATGTACTGTGCGACATATCAGTATGGATGTCACACTACTTCCTCAAACTCAATCTTTCTAAAACCAAGCTTGTAATATTTCCTCCTCCCTGATCCCCTCCCAATGACTTTACCATTGAGATCAACGGCACAACCATTGGTCCCTCCACACATGCCAGGGTGCTAGGTATAATTCTAGACTAATACACCTTACTAACCGATCTGTGACTGCTGCCCCTCTCTGCCAATCTCTTCACTGGCTTCCCCTACCCCATCATATAAAATTCAAAATGCTACCCACAAAACATACAAGGCCATCCACAACATCACCCCCAGCCACATCACCAACCTTATCTGCATATATTGCCCAAGTCGTCCTCTCCGCTCCTCCCAAGCTCACTTGCTCTCTAGCGCCCTCCCCTCCTCTCGCCTCCAGACTTTTCCAGAACCTCTCCCATCCTCTGGAATTCCCTACCCCAGTATGTCCAGTCAGCTCCTACCCTGTTCGCCTGCAGGCAATCCTTGAAAACTCATTTATTCAAGGAAGCCTACCCCGTCTCAACCTAAGAACTGTACTTGAGTCACCTCCATAAGATCATCCCCTGCAGCTATTACTTTTTGTACCACCTCCCCCTCCCTTTAGAGTGTAAGCTCCATGAGCGGGGCCCTTTTTTCTTTCTGTATTGAACTGTATTGTAATTGTACTGCCCCCCTTTATATTGTAAAGTGCTGCGTAAACTGTTGAGGCTATATAAATCCTGTATAATAATAATATTTTTTTAAATATTAATTTTAAGAACAGTCATAATTTCTGTTTTTTGGGGGGCTGTTCTCGAAATTATGAAAAGCTGCCAACACTGATGGAAGATCTTTGAAAAGTTTTGGCTTCAAATTAACTTTGATTTATATTTTTGAATAATACATTGTTGAATTAAATGCCTTTCATTTGCACTGAGATTTTCTTTAAATATTGGTTTCACTGTATAGGAGAAAGAGAAGAACTAATTATAACAGCAAAGAGGCTGATGGGTCGTGCAGTGACTGTAGAGGTCTGCGTTGAAACTATAAGAAGCCCCCAGCAAGCTTCTTCTCTGGAACAAGCCACCAACATGATTGATGACATTCTGAAGAAAGTCATGGATAACTTGGAAAGTGGCAAGAAAGAGCTGGTATCTTTGTACGGAGCATGTAGTTCAGATGTTCCTTCAGGGCCAGTAGATCAGAAATTCCAGTCCATCATAATTGGATGTGCAATTGAGGACCAAAAGAAAATTAAAAGAAGACTAGAGACCCTTATTAGGAACATTAACAGTTCTGAGAAGTCCATTACACTTCTGGAGAACCAGAAGCAGAAATCAGCTGATCAGCAAAATAAAATCTAAAGTACATTTAGCAACTTGTTTTTGTCCATGGTGCACAATATTGTAGATTTAGAACCAGGTTTATATGCATTTAAGTGTTTTCCTTTAAGAAGTTATGTGTGTTCTTTAGATGACACCTTACTGATGAAGAAGCCATTTTACCAGTAGAACTATTCAAGGATTCATTCAGGTGCTTATTTGCAATTTCCATAGCTCTTTTGAAAAGGTGCAACAGATCAAGTGTACAGTATCTGTGCTGCTGTATTAGAAAAACAGCCTGTGGTTTAGCATATTTCAGAACATTTGGTTCATTAATTAGGTTTAAAAAAAAATGAAAGTCTAATTGGACAATTATATACAGTATGTATATATAAATGCATGCATAACCTCTGACCCCAAAATAATTATCCAATGAGTAAATCAGTTGCCATATACATACTGTAGGTAACATATGCAGAAGCAATGCTGGAATCAGCAACACCGATATAATACTTTGCCTGTTTCACCTTTGTCAGTTATGCATCTGGAGTGGGAAGCAATACACCAGCATTCTTTAACACAAGGACATTTAGGGCCAGTTCACACCATAGAAACGCATAAAGATATCTGTTAATATGCAGGAAATGCAGTCATCTTTTAATTTAGTGGGGGGTTTTTTAAACTGAAATAGAGAAGAGTGTAAACCCTGCCCATTTTTTTCTTTTTTTTTTGTTAACCTAATAAATCCCTTTCACTTTTACTCATATCCACATTTTAAGGGAGGATTGTTCAGTAGTCCAGTGTTTTTCAACTGGGGTGCAGAGGCAAAATGACATAAAACCCTGTACAGTCCAATCTGAAAGCATTCCTGTGTCAAAGTGTTACAAAACCCACAACAGTAAATTCAGTCTGTATATGCAGTAAAGCATGCTTGTTATACTCACTGTGGAACCTAAGGGGTTAATCCTCTGTATTGTGTAAAAAGGCTGTTCGCTCCTGACTTCTCTGCCCCTCCTCTTGTTCAAATGTCCACGCTGATAAGACAGACTGAAACCGTAACCCTTCTGCACATGCTCCGTTTAGTATGTATTGCTAGAGAGGTTTTTTTTTTTTGGGAGAGTGCATGTGATCAGCACAGGGCCAATCAGGACTGTCCTGACAGAGGGTCAGGAGCTCTGCATCCTCCTAGAGAAGAAAGAAAACTCCTCCTACAAGCTTTAACCAGTGCTCTGCTGAAGTCACAAGACTGCTCTAACTGCTGATGAGAAAAGGTATTTAGCAGTTTATATTTACTAAAATAATTGCACTTCTATGTTCTGTGGGAGAACAGATATAGTGAATGCAGGGTCCTGGGTTTAGTAACACTTTTAAGTAGTTGTAATCCCTTACATACCGTATACCAAAAGAAGTGACTGGCCTCAGGTGATACACGGAAATGAAACAAATCCTCCTACATAAGTTGTGCTTGTTTGTCTGCAGTCTTCTCTTCTCTACATCCATTCAAAGTCCAGAATTTAGAAAGCTTCTCTAAAACTTCAGAAGTTCAGCTCAGGGGGTAGGGATCTGAAGTTACACTCTGCAGAGCTGCGTGAGGAGAGTTCTGAAAGCTGATTGGAGGGAAGAGACACACCTCCCTCCACACAGCTCACAGGAACAGAGCTGAGGCTGTCAATCTGCTGGAGGTCCCTCCCCTGCAGGGGCGGACTGACAACTCATGGGGCCCCCCGGGCAATAGGGGATCATGGGGCCCCTGTGTCCCTGCCTAAACTCAAAAAAGCCTATGAAAAAGGTACCAGGGGCATCTAACGGGGCCCCCTACTGCTGCTAAAACATGCTCAGACCAGTAAAGTCACGTGTTTATGCAGTGCTCATAATCCCAGTGGAGTTAGATGAACAGTCTGTAAAGTCCAACATAAGGTAGATGTGGTGAAGTTGGAAGGAATCCTGCAGCTCCTGGTATATGGATCTCTGATCAATCCCTCAATGGAATATGCAAAGAAAACAGCAACAGGGAGAAAGGATCAGCATGGGGTAAAAGCAGCACTTTATTGTATATTCACATTTACATCTCAGAGAAGTGTGCTTCAGCTCCAACAGGCAGCAAGTGAGAAGTATACAATAGAACAACAATCCAAGGGCTGGAAATGCAGCTTTTGGGTGCAGACACAGGCTAGGACTCATCAAGATGATGGATAGCCAGTGGCATCTATAGCTGTCAGCAGAAGACACAGTGGTGAGAGGAGGTGGCAGGCGACAACGCGTTTCTGAGGGTCCATCTCCTTATTCAAGAAGCTTCAGTGCAGTGTGTTTTCTGCCTGCCTTCTTCTCACTCTCAGCCTGTTGGAGCTGAAGCATAGTGCTCTGAGACGTAAATGTGTATTTACAATAAAGGGCTGCTTTTAACCCCATGCTGATCCTTATGCCCTTTTCTTTTCAGATTCATGCTGGTAGTAGAAGAATGAGGCAGCAAACATAAATTACACTTCATGCTTTAAATGGAGACAAATACACACTATAGAGACATATGTTTTGTTCTAACAATGTCAGAGGTTTACAATCACTTTAACTCCCGCACCTCCTCCCAGTTCTCTCCTCCTCTCTGCTCATGTCATTACTGTCGACAACCCAGAAAGGTATGTGTGCTGCCCATCTGTGTCCTACCAACTGATGATCTCATCGATTGCTAAGGACAGGTCAGGAAGCCCACACAGCTTTCTGGGTTGCTGACAGAAGTAGTGAGAGGAGGAGAGAGATGGGAGGAGGTGTGGGCTGTGCTCTCTCCCTCCTCTTACTACTTCTGTCAGCAACCCAGAAAGCTGTGTGGGCCACCTGACCTGTCCTTAGCAATCGATGACATCATCAGTTGGTAGGACACAGATGGGCAGCCCACATAGCTTTCTGGGTTGCCCCTGACAGAAGTAGTGAGAGGAGGAGAGAGATGGGAGGAGGTGCGGGCTGTGCTCTCTCCCTCCACTCTGTACACAGGAGTGAACACAAAATGCTCTCAGACCAGACTGCACAGGGCTTGATTACCTTTCCCCATCTCCTCCCAAGACTGCTCATGTCCCAGTTGCATAAATTGTGGGTAGGGGTTGGTAATCAAATCCTGCACAGTCCGATCTGAGAGTTCTGTGTCATCTCTTGTATACAGACAGGAGGGAGAGGAGCTGGAGGGGGTGGAGGGAGAGCACAGTCCACAACTCCTCCCAGCATTGCCTCCTCTCTGCTGCTGTCACTGCTATTGTAGTGATGAGAGCGAAGTGGTGGGACAGGGAGTTTTGTGCTAGGAGGAGGGGGATGAATTTGTGCTGGGGGGTATTTGTGCTAGGAGGGGGGGATCTGGAAACGGGGTATTTGTGCTAGGAGGGGGTACTTAGAAGAAGGGGATTTGTGTTAGCAGGAGGGATAACCCCCCAAAGCAAAAACAAAACTGGCAGACTCGATGGACCACTTTTTTCTGCCATCACTTTTCTATGTTTCTATATTGGAGGGTGGGAGATTTGTGCTAGAAGGGGGATTTGAGGGGATTTACAAACTTAACTCTACGTTAAAACTACATTTTAGGGCTTGTTCACACCAGGTGCAGTGCAGTAACACGACTGAAACTGAGTGTTTTCCCGCACTACACAAAACTGTGCTGCCTTTTGCAGCAGCAGGGTAATACAAGGCAGCTTGTTTCCCTAGTAAAACAGCACACAGTTAACCCTTTGATTGCCCCAGATGTTAACCCCTTCCGGCCCAGTGTCATTATTACAGTGTCAGTGCTTTTTATGAACACTGATCACTGTATTAGTGTCACTGGGGATGTCAGTGGCAGTTAGTCAGCACTTTTGTGGTCTGCAGTGTATCAACTAAGGCAGGGGTGTCAAAGGCCTCCAGCTGTTGCGAAACTACAAGTCCCATCATGCCTCTCTACCTTTGGTAGTCATGCTTGTAACTGTCAATCTTAAAATGCCTTGTTGAGACTTGTAGTTTGGCAACAGCTGGAGGGCCGCCAGTTTGACACCCGTGAACTAAGGTAAAGGCAACACATGCAGAAGGAAAGGATTTATGCATGGGGGATTATGCACCAAATAGCTGTGGCAGGAGAACCACCTCAATGAGAAAATCAGTAGCAAAATCAACGCACTGATTGTCAGGACGAAGTCCTTGAGCACCCAAGGGCAAAAAGGTGAAATCACGCCCACTCCCTGAGCTGTGAAAGAGTTCAGCAGGATAGATTTCAGGTTTACCTGTTTTGGACCTCACCCCCGTCTGCCAGTTTATGGCCTGTGCTGCACCATAGAAGCACATACCTGGGCATGCCTCCCCATCTCCTGCCCCTTGGTGATAGTGAAAGTATGGTCTCTTCTCTCCTCGAATCAATGACCTTAGGTGTTCATACTCAGAACCACCAGTGCCCCTTCCCCCCAAGTGCCGCAGAGCCTATGGAAAGCCCCATGGAAAATGCTGCAATGCTGCTTTACAGCCAGTATGCCTGGGGGACAGGACCTACACTGAGCTATAGACTTTGGATGCTCTAATGGGACAGGCAGGCTGAAAGGTGGCTGACCCCATGCCAACTTGTGCCAGTGCAGAGACAACTAGAATAGTGAACTACAGTGAGGCTCATGATCTCGCTTGTGTTCTTGCTAGAGCACACACCGCATGGTGTAATATCATGGTCACTGGAGATAGCAACAGGAGAAAGAGGAAAACTTTCTATTGTCTCAGATCCAGCAAGATCCTTCACCTATTGCCTCTATCCCTGTGAGGCAGAGTCAGCAGGAGACAGAGTAGGAGGAGTGCTGCTGGTGAGAAGGGGTAGAGTTGTGCTGTTGGTGGTGTGTAGTGAAGAAGGTTTGGCAGGAGAATGAATTTCTGAGGGGCTTCAAGAGGGTTTTCACTGCTCCCCAATCCAAGACAAGAATAGTACAGCGATCTCTGCAAGAGGGAGCACAAAGAACGCCCCTCTGAGGTAGCACAAATGACCTCCTTGCTGCATTTCCTGATGGTGGATGGATCCACCATCCTGTAGGCATAAGTAAAGGGCGTATAACTTT